ACAGAGATCCACCTGCCTCTGCCTCCTGAGTGCTGGGATTAGAAGCGTGCAGAACCATGCCCAGCTCTTCTTTCTCTTTTTGATTTGAGAAAGTTTAATTTTTTTCTTCCAAGGCCTATCATACACTGAAAAAGTGTTGGTGTCCTGTTAATTACTAAGAACTTTTGCTCATTTTCAGGGAGGCAGTCTCTTACATCTCTGTGGATTTTACTGATACATTTTTAAAAAACAGTGCTCCTGCCTAAAGGTTGGCAAACTACAGCATAGAGAGGAAATCTATTGCATATTAAAAAAAACAAAAACAGAAACAAAAACAGCTTTCGAGGTAGGAATGGTTTTAGATAACAGAAGAATATGCAACAGAGATTGTACGTGGCCTGCAAAGACTAAAATATATATTGTCTGGCACTTTACCCAAAGGGTTGACCAAACCATATTTTACCCCCTCCCTTCTTTTTTTGTAGTGCCGAGGATCAATCAAATGCAAGGCCTTGTGCATGGCAGGCAATCAGTCTACAACTAAGCTATATCTCCAGGACCCCTGTTGTATTTTATTGCATGTTTTCTTTTTTCTATGAATTCTTAAGTCCTAATTTTTTTTGGTTGAAATTGTTTTGGACTATTTTCCAAGTCAGAGACTTTCTATGAATAGTGAATGACAACTCTCTACAATTATTTAAGAAAAGGGCACTAAAATCCTGAGTGACAACTGTGTATGTATGAAAAGGACCTACAGGTAGAGTAGGAAAGTTGGTGGGAAAGGGGTCACTTTGCAGACACTTTCTATGGAATGGACAGCTGCCCTAGAGAGAGACACAATTCATCATGCACATTTCTCTACTATAGGAGATATACAACTGTGAGCCTACTCAATCAAAGCTGAGGTGAAAAAAGGGATAGAATTCTCACATAAAGAACATAGAATTTCCACAAACAGCATAGGTTTTGTTGTTCTCTGCTTGTTTGTTTCTGTTTTTGTTTTTGAGACAGCCCTTGCTGGTCTGGAACACTCTATGTAGACGCTGACCTCAAGCTTCCAGAGTCTGCCTGCCTTTGCCTCCCAAGTGGTAGGATGTATGTTTTGGTTTGTTTGTTTGTTTGTTTTGGTCTTTTTCAGACAGGGTCTCCCTGTAGTCCCAGCTATCCTGGAACTATGTAGATCAGGCTGGCCTTGAACTCACAGAGACCACCTGCCTCTGCCTCCTGAGTGCTGGGATTAAATGTATGCACCACCACGCCCGGTAGCATGTATGTTTTAAAATCTGATCTTTAGTTTATTCTTAGCTGTGCCTGTGCTGAAGAATATAGATGCTGGTTCAATCTTTGAAGAATTCAATCTTGGTAGAAGAGTGGGCTGTCTACCTAATTTTCATACTGACCTATAGACAATATTCCTATTTTCATCTTTACTTTCATTGACAGTCTACGGTGCCTCAAGTCCTGAGCTTTTCCACGAATGAGTCTAGAAGTTTTTGTTGGTTCTCATCTGTGTACATTTAAACCTCAACTTTCTCTTGTTAAATCTAGTCTGTTAAAATTAGTCACTCAACTTTAATACTGATTTTTCAGTATTAAAAATTTGCTGACATCCTTGTCTGCCATTGTCTCTCTTCTCACTCTTTGTAACTTTGTAGGCTTGACATTTTAATTCCTTCATTGCGATGGGATTTTGAGGGAATGAAAATAAAAATGTCAACTTCATACAACAGTCTTCTTTGACATTATTTTAAAATAAATTACAGGCTCCAAGGCACCAGATTGTTTAGCATGACAGGATAGGAAGAAGTTATATACTGTCAATACTATAGAATGGTGTTGAAAATCAACAGGAAGCCAAGAAGTCTATTTTGGGTGCACTATGTGTTCAAAGTGGCCTTTGGTGGAGAGATATTTAAGTTAATAAACAGTTAAGAGACATTTCACGTTTTCTTTCTCCATTGTTTTCGTATTGCCTTGCTCAAATGAATTATGCTCACGTGAGAATTGATGCTATGCTTTAAGTGAAGCAGACTAGTGAGAAAACTCTTGTATTGTGGTTGCAAAACCATCTTGTATGTTCTGAAGGCTCATGGATTTCATTACTCTAGATAATTATAACAGTCCCATGTAGCCTTTTTACAAAGGCGATGACAGAGGCTGAGGAGATGTCTCAGGAATAAAATGTATACTATGCAAGTATGAGGACTTGCATTCAGATCACCAGAACCTACATAAAAGCCAGCAGAGTGGCATGTGCTTGTAATCCCAGCACTGTGACAAACTGCAGCTTGTTAATAATGGCCTTCAAAATCAATGACAAGAAAATTAATAAATATCAAAGGCATAGTTGATACTTCACATGTAGAATTTTTGAAGTTAATTTACAAAAAGCATGTTTTGGAGCTCTAGAAGCTGGCTGGCAATGTATACCAGTGGAGAAGCAGTAAACCTCACATTTTTTATGAATTCACCAAGCATTTTGAAGCATCCACTCCAAGCTGAGACATAGGTGGTTGCTAAAAATACAAAAGTGTATGGCATTTGTTCTGAGGGTGGGAGAATGGCACAAATAGATAAACAGGCTATTACAGTGAAATATATGCTATAATAAGAGGTAATACACAAAACTCTATGGATTTAGTAGGGTATCACAACTTTAGATGAACAAATAAAAGGAGTCCACATAGGACATGACCATCAACCAGGCTCTAATTGCTAAATATGTTACTTGAATAATTTATGTGCCAAGGTGGAGGGCAATGCCAGTGTGCTGGATAGCTTTAGTTGTCAACTTGACATACCTGGGTTGAGGGAGCCTCAACTGGAGAATTGCCTCCATTGGACTGGCCTGTGGCCATGTCTGTGGGGTATTTTCTTGATTGCTGAGTGATGTGGGAAGGCCCAGCCCCCTGTATATGGAGCCACCCATGGGTAGCTGGTCCTGTACTGTATAAGGAGGTTGATCATGGGCCAGGAGAGCAAGCCAATAAGCAGCGTTCCTCCATGACCTATGCTCCAGCTCCAGCTTCCAGGTTCTTTCCTTCAGTTCCTACCTTGGGCTCCCTGATGAACTGTGACCCAGGAGATGTAAGCCAAATAAACCCATTTCTCCTCAAGTTGGTATTGGTCAGAGTATTTTGTCATAGCAATGAAGAAACAAACTGCAACAGCCAAGATATTATAGTATGTTTAATAGTAAGATGTTTATGTTTAATGGTGAAAATGTTAGTTGATAGAGGTAAGGGATATGCATGAAAAAGCAAGTCTTGTGGTTTTAAAAGTGGGTGAGGCTAAGATGTGAAGGACCATTTACTACTATGTGACCTTGGCCAGGTAATTTATTCTGAGATTAGCTAGCATGAAAATAACACAAGACAGGGCTTGAAGAAATGGCTTAGCATTAAGAGTAGTGGTGCTCTTCCAGAGGACCCATGTTTGATTCCAAGCACCCACATGGTGGCTTATAACTGTACTTAATTCCAGTTCCAGTGGATATGACACCTTATTCCAGCCTCTGCTGGCACCAGGCATGCACATGGTGCACATACATACATGCAGATAAAACACTCATACTCATAAAATAAAAATAAATCTTTAAGAAAGAAAACAAGATTTATAAAATATGAAGTTCCAATTTGAATTGGAACTTATCAATGAAAGAATTAAATGAGATATGTAAAAAAGCTTATTCAAAAATATATATTCAAGCTCCTTTAGCAACTATTAGCTGAATACTGTAATTCAAACAAAAACAAGCAGTCATAAAGAAAAGGATGAAAGGTTTTAAGAACAACATGCAGTGCAATTTGATCCCAAATAAAATGGGATTTCCAGACAGTAAAGGACAGCGGGCTATCAGTAGCTTAACAATATAAATGAGATCTGATTAGAGGAGAAGCACACAAAAAATTATGAAGAGTGTGGGTGATATGTTCTGGGAATTCAATCTATCTATTGCCCTATGTTACTGGCTGCAGGCAAATGGAACTCAACACAATCCGGTTACTAATGTGCATGAATGGTTCAATGTGAGTGTACCAGATACCTGAGAAAAATCAAAATTCTGGATCTGTTCAGATTGGATTAGGGTTAGTTAAGGGTCTTCTGGCTGAACTGCAAACATGTCAAACTGTTCGGTTGCCAAGATTTTATTTTTATACTGTTTCTTTTATTTGAACTATTTAAATAGCTCATAGTGTCATTGAAAATGAAATACTACATGGATAAGGTAACTATAATGTCATAAATACAGAATATGATTCTTAAATTACTTTGTACAAAATCTACTTATAAATTGGAAGTTGATGTCCCCAATAAGAAATTTTTTTGAGGGATGGAGAGATGGCTCAGTGGTTAAGAGCATTGCTGCTCTTGTAGAGAACCTGGATTTGGTTTCTAACACCCACATGGCAGCCTACAACTATATGTAACTCCAGTTCTTGGGGATCTGATGCCCTCTTCTGGTTTCCATGGGAACCAGAACACATGGGATGTACATACATACAATGTAGGCAAAACATTCATACATATAAAATAAAATATAAAAATCTTGGAGCTAGAGGGATTGCTCAGTAGTTAAGAGCATGGCTGCTCTTGAAGAGGACCCGGGTTCGAATCCCAGCACCCACATGGCAGCTAACAACCATCCATATCTCCAGTTCCAAGGGATCTTATTCCATCTTCTTACCTCCACAGGCATTGCATGACACAGGTACACTTACATGCAAGCAATATACTCATACATATAAAGTGATAAATAAAATATTTTATAAACATTTAAAAATCTTCTAAAATAGAACTTGTTTAAATGATAACAGGTTGGGAGATCACTTAGTTATTAAGTGCTTGCTGAAATTTCCAACTTACATTTGTGACATCTAACATGAGAAACACACTTTCCTAGGGTTCAAGTTAAATAAAATTTTATCACATTCATTTTAAAAAGAAGCAAATGTTACTTCTACATATATCCTGTACAGGTAAAATTACACTAATGTTGTGATAAATTTTATATCACTTACCTCCCGAGGGCCTGATTTAAGGCTCTATATGCTTGAATTTCATACCACTGACGGCCAGGCAAGAGACCTCTCAGTTTTGAGTGGTGATCATTGTATTGTCGTTTTAGTTCAACCTAGTAATTTTAAAACCACATAAAAAATGTAGTAGATAAGTAAAGCTTTTTTTTAACATATTAATGTCTAACATTTTAAATTTTATTTAGAGTAAACAGGTATTTAGCTTTTCAATACTGATTTTTTTTCAGTTGGTTTTAGTTTGATTCATTCTTAGATTTCCTCAATTACCTTATGTATATAATTATCTGTGTGATATCAGATGAGATCACTAACACACAATACAATTCACACATTTCAGTGCCGACGCATGCATTCTAGTAAATGCAGACTCTTGTAACCATCCAGGTGATTATAGGTCATTTTCATCCTTATTAACAATGATTTCTTTCTTCTACTTCTGGCAGTCTATTTGCCTTGCTTTGCCTTTTCTGGAACTTCAAGTAAATGTTAAACATACAGTATGTAATCATTTCTGTCCATCGTTTCTACTTAGCATACTACTTTGGGAACTCACTTATGTTAAAGTATGTAAGTGAAACACATATTGAAACATTTCATTTATATACGATACACACATAGACACTGCACTCTTACATTTTTCCCAGTCTGACAATCCCTGCTTTTAAATTTGGATGTTTAGTTCATTTATATTTAAATGCAGTTACTGTTATAATCTAGTCTAAGATTACCATCTTACTATTTTTTCATATTTCTCCATCTTCTGCTTTTCTGTATCAAAAGATTTCCTCTAGTGTATCCATTTTATTTCCACTATTGGATTATTGGGTAGTTGTCCTGATTTCATTTTTGTTTTTAGTAATTTCTCTAGGGTTTATACATACATCTTTAACTTAACACAATCTATCTTAAAATATTATACTACCTCACAGATGGCATAAGTGTACACTATGATTCTATTTCTTTTCATAGCTCTTATGCAACTTTAGTTTAGCAAATACTGTAAAACCATAAAACATCCTGATTACTTAAACTTTAAACAGTACCTTTTATTTTATGTTCTTAATATGTATGTGTGTATTGTCTGCATGTAAGTAAGTGCACCCATGTTGTGCAATGCCTGTGGAGGACAGAAGAGGCTGTCGGATCCCCTGGGACTGGAGTTATGGACAGTTGTTAGCCGCCATGTAGGTGCTGGGATTCAAACCCGGGTCTTCTGCAAGAACAGTCAGTGTTCTTAACCGCTGAGCCATCTCTCCAGCCCAACAATACTTTAAAATTTTAATTTTATTTGTATATTATTCTAAGCTTTTAAGTTTAGATTTATAGAAGTTATAAAAATAATAGAAATTTCTTGTGCTCAGTCCTAAATTTCCCCTAATGTTAACATGTTACATTACTATGGCACATATTTCAAATTCAGAAATACTGGAATATTACTTTTAGCTAATCAATATGCTTTACTCAAATTTTCAATTTTGCATTAGTAAATATCCTTCTTTTTCTAATAATGTGTATTTTCTAAAAGAGTACTCATCTACAGATTTACACTTTTCTTTCCCTTCTGCACATTTAAGTTTCCAAATGACAACAAAGTATAATGCAATGACGTGAAGATGCCACAAAGAAATTCATTACTCTGTATGCTAAACAACTTTTTAAAACTGGGAAAATAAACAGCAGACCCCAATCTTATCTAAAGGAATATTG